CTCTCCATCAAACCCCCTCCCCTCCAGCCCCCAGAATATACCCTATGTTTTCGCCATTGACTTCAATGGCCCATAGGATATAATGGGGCCAAAATTGAAAGGAGGGGAGGGCGGGGCCGGCTCTGCAGGCTGTTTTTCAGGCACGGGGCTCCGGCGCGGAGCCTGAAAAAGGCAGGGAGGGCAGCTTAGCAGTCTCCCCCCCCCCCGGGGGGGGGCGGTTTTGTTTGTATTTTAATTATATGTGTTGGGGGGGGTTTTAATGTTTTTAAAATGTGGGAGTGCAAGGGAACGTTTCGCCCCCCCACCCCTGCGGGCATGCAGCTGCTGACGAGGACAGCCTCCGCGGCCACAACTTTTTAAAGAGCCCCTGAGGAGAGCTGGGGGAGTCCAGCGGCAATGCCCTGTGCTGTGGCTGGGCACCAGCTTGGGAGGGCGAGGGGTGGGCAGGGCTTCTGGGAAATTTCGGGGGGGGCTGGGGCCCAGCAGCCCCCACGAACGTTACGCTGGTGCCCTGCCATTTAGGTTTCCCGAACACTGGCACAGGAACAAGATAATCAATACAGAATGGATGTTAGCTAATATTTATATACAAAAGTAAATAGATGACATCAGAAGAAGGTGAAAAGGATATTTACAACTCAACAGGCAAACAAAGAAGATAACCTTTTTAGATTTCATACGGGAAATGTGTATCTTCTCATCAGCTATCTGCACACGTGTCGCAGCTATACATTACTACTGGGAATACCATTGCTTTGACCATACAGACTTTTGTTGGCAGGGTGATGTCTACTTTTTATTATGCTGTCTAGGTTTGCCATCACTTTCCTCCTCATGGCTGCAGTCATCTTTTAGTCATAAGTAATTAACAAAATGTTCAAATCACTTTTGTGATCACAGTAGATACTAAGCAGCATATGATGGTGTCATGTTTCCCTTATTGTACAGTCTGGAGTAAGTTCCTCAGAGATGGAATCTAATTTTTTTTTACTGGCAGTGGCACTGTGAAGGGATAGACAATCATCTCTTTGTTTTGTCCAAAAATATACCAAAACGTAATATAGAAGCATCTAAGTTTTAGGCCTCTGAGCATATCGATACTTGGGATTTTTCTAGCTTAGTTAACAGTTTTCTGACATTTAAACTGTTGCCCTCCAATAAAATATGCTAACCTTTGAAACATCATAGACATCAAGTGTGGGCCTATCAACGCAACCCTGTGCAGAACGCCTAACTCTGCACAGGGAACCCCCCCCCCAGTGCTTGTGTTCCACTTCAGGCAGACTTCTGGTGGTACCTGCCCCTTGGGTAACTTGTTTAACTTCGACAGGAACAAGGGTTCTTTCTGTCCTGTCCCCAACCTTGTGGAATACTTTTGTCTGAAGAAAAAATTAAATTATCGTATGACATTGTGTGTAGTATAGTCAGGAGATCCTAGGATTGTCTGGTAGCCTGAAGCTTTAGCTCTTTTTTAGTATTATGCCGCAAGCTAGGCTTATTTTGGGGGACTGGGAGAGCTGTGACTGACCCAAGGTCACCCAACTTGGCTTCAGGTGGAGGAGGGTGGAATCGAACCTGGTTCTCCAGATTAGAGTCTGTCACTCTTAACCACTACACCACACTGGCTCCCTCTGAAGAGGCTCTTGCCCTGTGGGATATGACACATGGAATTATTTGTCCAGGCATTCCATTGAGGCAATCTTAACTTGACCTGTTATCAGCTTCTCTGATCAGAGTGCCAGTGTGTTAAATTATTTTATAGAATATTTGTATTTTTATTTATGTTCTGTATTTACGTTGTTAACTGCTCTGAGCTCTGGTTGTCAGGAAGAGAGTAGAATAAACATTTAAATAAATAAATGGTATCTTGATAGAGTTAAACACATTTGCGCTTTGTTTCATTGCTATGTTGTTTTCTTGGACAGAGTTTTATGGAAAAGGAGCCTCGTACAATGCGCTAGTTGGGAAGGATTCAACTCGGGGAATTGCAAAGATGTCCCTTGATCCTGCGGATCTCACTCATGATACAGTAAGGAAAAGAGATGTCTGTTCCGTGGTGGCATGGGTCTTGCATGCCATTTACTTGCATGTATCCTTCTTGATGTTGGTGGGTACTGGCTGGCCCAAGTGCGTGGAGGATCATAGGTGAGGAGAAGGGCATGGAGGGAAGAGACTGAAGAAGCAGATCTGCCAGGTGGGGTCCTTCGTACTCAGATGTGAGCAATCTCAATTCTGCCAGCTACTTACCTTTCTCTTTTTGCTCTCTCCCTCCCCTCACTCTTCTCTTTATGCAATCATATTCTATTGAGACGGGACTCACAACAGAAGAGCTGCAATCTCTGGATGAAACCTTCAATAATGTCTACAAAGCCAAGTATCCCATTGTTGGCTACACTGCCCAAAGAATTCTCAATGAGGATGGCAGCCCCAATTCAGACTTCAGACCCGAAGATCAGCCACATTTCAACATTAAGGAAGAGTTTTGACCAATGAGTGAATTCCAATAATCCATGGATGCTCACCCTACATTGCATCAGCATAAGGACAAAAAAACTGACTTTGTTACCGAAAACAGGAAAATGACTTCAAGAATGAACAGCATGGCATGCCCACTTTTCTGAAGTCTTTCTGGGCAAAGCTAGGTACCATATTATTATCATTTTACAATGTTCCTGCAACTGATGAATTAGTAACATTATTGGGTGGAGGCCGGTAAGGAGTCTCAGCATGGGTGGGGGGGGAACAATTGGGAATAGAGGTGGCCTTGTTGGCTTGCCTGTATGTCTCTCTCTCTGATATAGCCAGGAGGAGTACAGTTTTTAAAAATAGAACTCCATGGGTAGAAGTTCCTGGTAATCCTTGATTGATGGATGCTGTGTGTAAAACAGAGAATATCATTCCTTCCATGTGAATTTCTTGGGCACATCTGGCTAGCTACTGTGAAGGGTTCTTGATTAAGAGAAGAGGAAGAGATTGGATTTATACCCACCCTTCACTACCCAAAGGAGTCTCAGAGTGGCTTACAATCCCCTTCCCTTCCCCTGCCCACAACAGACACCCTATGAGGTAGGTGGGACTGAGAGAGCTCTCTCGAGAACTGCCCTTGAGGGGGCAGCTCTGAAATAACTTATGACTGACCCAAGGTCACACCAGCAGCTGAAAGTGGAGGCGTGAGGAATCAGTAGTAGCAAGACACAGGGAAGGGAAAACAAACTTGACCCAAAAACTGGAATCAAGAACCACAAGGGTAAAAAAGAATTCTGATAAAGGGCCAGTATTAAAAACCTAGTTGAAACTTATAATATACAAAAATACATGTATTTATTAGAAAGACAGTTAAAAACATATAAGGGCCCAGTGAAAGCCTCGTTAAAAAGTTCAAGTGGCCTAAACACTAGGTCCAATACACATGGCCTGACGCATTTTTGCCCTATTGGGGCCTTCTTCAGAGGTCAAACAGTATTGAGGTACACGTAACAATAATACATATTACAATAAGATAACCAATAAGTTAACCCTGGACCGAGAAAAGGAAGGCTGTAGAAAAAAGAAAAAAAGAAAATTGAATATGAATAATTATTTTTTAACTTAGTGTAGTAAAAATGGCTATATTACTTAAGCAGCAAGATCTATAGACACAAGACAAAGATGTTTGTGAGGCTTCTAAAGATGAAAGTCATGTGTCTGGTGCCAAATGAACAGCTGCTGAATTAGAACATCTAAAAAATAAAATATATTTTAAAAGCTAATGCAGTAAATAAAAGCCAATATAATAGCAGAAATAAAAAATCAGTAATATACAAATTACCTTCCAATTTAGGTCCAAAAAGTACCTGTGTGGCTATCTTAGTCAGAGCTAGAGTGTCCTCCAGCAAATAGCAGTGCTATTGAGTAGGTGTGGTTAACCTTTATAGTTAGGTGCTGGATGATGCAATCCTAGTGAAATGCTTAGTCATAGCTGATGCAATCCCAAGGTGATGCTTAGTCATGGTTACGCACAGGCCCTCCAGCAGTGTGGCAGCAGACACACATTTAATACATATACACATCGAATCAATTTAACACAGGAACAGCAAAACAAATACCAAACATAATTCACACTGCACACCAGTCCACCTGTTCATTCAAGCCCAAGGGAGTTAAAGATTTAAGAGCATGAATCTAAAACAGTTCTCTGGCCTTCAGACATTTAGTAAGCTGGAAGTTACCAGCCCTGATTTGTTCCAGTAGCAAGAAGCAAAGGTTTCTGTCGCTGTGACCGGCTGTTGTAAAATGACTCACCAATGGGGCATTCTTCCTTTTCAGATGGATGCAGCTTGTGCTCCCCTAACCTCGTCTTAATCAGTCTAGATGTATACCCCACATAGATAAGATCACATTTATATACAATTGCCTATATGAGGTTCCTTGAATTGCAGTTAAAAATGCTTTAATGGAATACTTTCTTTGGTTCTCCCAGATTAGAGTCTGCGCATTAACTGTGCATTTGGTTTGAGTGAGCAAGGTATTCCTTATGTTTCCAGAGTTGTGATGTCCTATGGGAGAACTTTTGTACTGATACCATAGATGGGGGGTGAAGACTTCATAAGCCCTATAGCCATTTCCCTCTACACTGCAAATACTGGAGGGACTTTTTATGGAAAGGTTTTAATATTGGCCCTCCTTTTCACTAACCTTTGTTTGGTTCTGGTACACAGGCCTAACCATTTGATCAACTATTATCCAAAGATTCAAATGCTTACAAGTTGGCTATGATTTTATTGAGACTTATCTACTTGCTTAATAACAAAATTAAACCTGGATGTAAACATCATCCCCTACCCCATTCTGTCTTCCCAACATGGCACCCCAGCAAGTAGATGGGACAAAAACCAAACATGCGTGTGCAATCAGGCAAATGTTGAAATACCTGTTGTCCCCTTGATCCGCACAGAGACAAAAAGCACACAACCAGCTCTCCCCTAGTATAAAACAAGCAGGTAGAAAGTACCCTAGTATAAAACAAGCAGGTAGAAAGTGAAAGAGGGGAGCAGGAGTCCCGGAGGCACCCTCTAGTGTGTGGGTATGGTCCTTATTGAATCTATACTTTGTATATATTTCTGATTCTGTTTATTAACCATCTTGCCACATATGTATTTTATTATCAATAAATACATGTACTTCATTTTATGGAAAGGTTTTAATATTGGCCCTCCTTTTCACTAACCTTTGTTTGGTTCTGGTACACAGGCCTAACCATTTGATCAACTATTATCCAAAGATTCAAATGCTTACAAGTTGGCTATGATTTTATTGAGACTTATCTACTTGCTTAATAACAAAATTAAACCTGGATGTAAACATCATCCCCTACCCCATTCTGTCTTCCCAACATGGCACCCCAGCAAGTAGATGGGACAAAAACCAAACATGCGTGCGCAATCAGGCAAATGTCGAAATACCTGTTGTCCCCTTGATCCGCACAGAGACAAAAAGCACACAACCAGCTCTCACGTAGTATAAAACAAGCAGGTAGAACAGTACCCCCTCACCCTCCTTTCTCCACAAAAGAAACCTTACATGTATTAGTCTTCTGTAAGAACAAAGTTGGAGTTCAGTGGTACGTTTAAGACCAACTAAGTTTTATTCACAGTATAAGCACACTTCCTCATGAAAGCTTCTACCCAGAATCAAACTTTGCTGGTCTTGAAGGTGCCCCACTGGACTCAAACTTTGTTCTGCTGCTTCAGACCAACATGGCTACCCCACCTGAATCTAGTCTTCTGTCAGATTGGCTCTCCCTGCCTTTTACAAGGTGTTACCAGGCTATCGTAGCCAGGATATTGTGTTTATTTGTAACAGGACTGGCATCTACAGTTTGGAAGCAGAAATGCCAGATTTCCATCTTATTTATATTTGCCTCAGTTTGTGTTATAATAAATATTGTTCTCAATCATTTTTCAAAAGAAAAACCATTTTGTTGTTGTCCAGTTGATCTTCCTCCTCAGTTATCAGCCATAGGTTTGAGTTCATTTCATATCCAAGCTAGAGTTCTCTCCCAGATTATTATTCCCTCTGGGATCCCTGGTGAAGTGGGGTGGGGAGGAAAGTAAACAAAAATCCTGGAGCGGTATCTGGTGAGGGTTGGTTTTTTTGTTTTGTTTTTAAAGGACTTGCCTCAGGAGACCACCCAGGGTCTTTCAGATATTTTCATTATGTAAAGTAGATAAAATCGGAGATTAGTAGCCCTGTATAGGTTGGGTGCTGATACCTCATCATACCGTGTCATAAAAGTACAATATTACATAATTGCTACAGGGAGATGAAACTCTTTAGAGCTGGAGTACTAAAAGCACTACTGATGTTGACAAAGAAGGTGAAGTGGCTTTCAAGAGGAAGAGGGCACCAAAGACATTTTCATTGGTTTTGCTTTAAGCAATGTGCATGCATCTTTCTGCCACCAGAGAGCAATATAATCCAGACAATAAGAGTGAATAATGTTAGTATGGTGATTGGCAAGTGTAGATACTGGCAACTGGGATTGGAAAAGCACAGATTTCTATATTATTTATTGAACATTAACAGATTTGTACAAATCACTACAATAGAATAGAAATATGACTTAAGTTACATAAAGATATTAATGAGCAATGTAGTGTATTTGTACAGATAATTCTTATCAGAGCTTAGATACGGATAAGATTTATCACCTTAAGCACCCTAAATCCCTATTCTAAACTAAGTTTACACTTAATTCTTTACAGATTTCATAGGATGGACTCTATTTCCAACATGATGAAAGGCACCCAACTTTGCAAAAAGATTCCTTCTAAATATGGAGATCTTGTCTATTAATGTAATAAACTGGAACTTGCACAACAAAGAACTGTTTGATCTCCCAGTCTAATCTACAACACCAGGCTGGTAGGAGAATAAAACGGAGGAAGGGCAGCTCTTGTTTACTGCTAGAACTCCTCAAAGGAAGGACAGGATAAAAATTAGACAGATGTGCCCTATAAAAAGTTTGTAATGCAAATGTGTAAACATTTACATAGATATTGAGTTAAAGGAGGCATGTTTTGGTCTCACTGAGATTCTGAGAGCTAGGAGTAGCCTAGTAGCAGAAATACTCTGCAAAGCCTCTTTAGGTAATTTCACCACCATATCTGCATGGGTGTGTGCTGATAATCTGCTTCAGTCCAGAAGATGGTCAGAGTGCGCGCAATGCAGTTCTGAATAACAACCACCATAATAATGTACCACAAAAACTAGGTATTATACAGTAGAAAAGAGTAAGAGTCTGGTAGCACCTTAAAGACTAACAAAATTTGTGGTAGGGGTTGAGCCTTCACCGTTCACTTCTTCAGATACAGCTAGAATGTGAGTCCATCTGTCCTATATATTGGAAAGTGTACTGTACTGTACAGTCATTATGTTTAAAAGAACAAGCCCTGCCTGCAGGCTAGTAATATTTTTTAAAAAACAGCTATAGGTAAAGAGGAGTTCTACAGCTGAAGCTAAGCAGGGCTGGCCTTGTAAACTGCCTTGATGGGCAACTGTATGGGAACCAGGTGGAAGTCCCTCTTGAGCTCTTCTAAGGAGCAGTGGGGTCAATGCATGAGGGATATGCTACAATATATATCTCATGGAAGTATTTTGTATGCAGGTGTGAGTTCAGGTTACCTAATGATTAATGGGTTCCTCTGCTCTGGAGAAGGAATATTTATA